ATTATAAAAGATTTCAAAGTAAAACTAGGAATTGGCTGTGTCTTCTATCAAATACTACAGGAAGCGTGCTGACAGGAGATCAAAATTGGTACAGAGGTGACAGAAGCTCATATTTATAGCAAGAGAGCAAGTGGTACAAATATATATCAAAAATTTAAAAGTACAATGTACATCATTGTGTTATAGTTTTTTTACTCAATTTGAAAAAAGGCACATAATTTTGTATTTGATAAAAGGTTTTTGTAGTTCCAAAAGATGAAACTACTTTAAAGTCCCTCTGTCAAGTAACAATGGTGAAGGTACATGGGTGAATTTGCAGGGGTGAATTTGTGGTGGGAATTTTATGGGTACCACACAATGGAGGGAGAAAAATGAAGACAGATGTAAAATACATATAAATTAAAAAAAAAAAGCCTCTCAGATATTGGTAAGGTAAATCTCAATACATACTTTAAAAAGAACCCTCTACAGTCACTGAAATGAAAGTAGAAAATATCTTTATACTAGTTGAAAAATTGCTAAGATTTATCATAAATAATAAAAAGGATTCAGAAAGGGTTTACAGGTGTACTGCTGAATTTACAAAAGAACAAACATACATTATCATTTTCTGTCCTGGAAAAATACTAACTAAACTAGTATCTGTGAATACACTGTGGTGACAGGGGAGAATAACTAGTTTTACTTTGTATATTCTCTGTGCCTTTTCTATTGTGTAAGAATTATTACTTATTCAAGAGAAAGTAGATATGATTACTAAAATGAGAACAGATATAATAATCATAGATGGGAATTCCCATAGCAGGAGGAATGGATGCTATGCTATGAGAGACTGCATAAGTCATTTCCCCAGAAGAGTATAGAGCAAGAAAGAGAAAATACAAGATGAACTCTCTAGTTTTAGCCTCTCAAAAGCCTTGACATTCTAGTCCCTAACCTATTTTCAGATTTAAATAGTAGGATGTGAACTGCAGTGGTTGCCAAAATCCAGCCCTTCATTTATCAAGATGGAAATTTCATTCAAAGTAAACTCACCATGTAGGAATTCTTTCCAGTGATCTGGTGCTTACACTCTTCGGGTTAGAATGAAATGCTTGTAATTCCATAAACTGTACCTAATCTCTTGACATACCCTGTGCACAAGGACACAAATGTTTTTAAACTGTCATCTTCTTCATTCCTTATCTGATATTCCCTGCCCTGTTTCCTCCTCACTGTTTCCTAACTGCCTGAGACTGGGTAAGATATCTTCCTGTGCTTCCTGTGAATTATGTTATACCTCCTGTTGTGTATGGACTAATTATGATTAAAACTCCAGTTCAAAATGTTTTGTTGGGAGGTTTGACTTTTTTTTTTATATAAACTTGTTAGAGTGAAACTGTTTTGAAGTTGGATCTTTGGATTTTCTGGTCTATATAGACATTTGTCAACAAAAGTGTCATTCTCCTAGTGAATACCAGTTGAAACACACGAAGAAGAAAGTCAGTATCCACGTACATGAGACAATGTTAGCAAACTTGTGCCTGTCAAAATGATTTGCAGACAATGCTTCTATCATTAAAATCCTGAAATCGAGATGGCCAGTTTACAGCTGTCTTCTCTACCTTGTCATGAAATGATACTTGATAGTCTTTGTTATAATTTATTTGACTATTACCACAATGTCTGCACACATCACCAAGTACTCCACAAATATGTGTAAATAAATATATGAACCACTACCTTTTCCACAGGGTCCCAAACTGCCTTTTCCTTTTTATTTTACCTCTTCTCTAGGGGCCTCAAAATAGAGTTAAGAAACAATGCAGCAGAGACTCAGAGGTAGATAATACATGAGCGCCCATTTGAATTTGCAGCCCTATTATCTTTAGGAACCAGACACTCATGTGCTTGGGGATCCTCTAGCTACTTCACCATGAAATTACTCAGCAATCAGAGTTGGCTAACAGAAAAATTAGATGCTAAACTAGTAAAGAAAGTACCCACGCCATGCACTCCTCTCATTTCCACCATAACACTTCTATTCCCTCAAGGTTCTGCTTAAAGAGAAATTTGCTTTTGATATAACTAACAGTCTCTCATTGAACACAAGGTCCATAGGCTGACAAATGATGGATGGAATCTAGAGGCACAGCTCTCCTTTCCTAAGTATTGAGTTAGTGCTCAGTTTCCCCACTTTTTGCCCAACCAAAGCCACTGGAGTCAAAGTCCTGCAGCACATCTTTTCCCCCAACTCTTTGGTACTCTATCTCAGTAGATGCTTTGAATACTGCATACCATGTGAGAGGGGCAGGCAGTGCTCCTTCATCAGCTTTCTCCAAGCACACATGACAGACTTTGAAATAAGAAGCAGTGACCATCAGATGGTGAGAAGAAAGGATCACAGTATTAGAGAAAAGAAGGGATCCTGGGCAAGGGGATGGGCAATGGAACCAGAGTAGAAGGAATTTTCACTCACTCTGGAGACCACTCATAAGGTGTCACATGTGGGAATAAAGTGTTTCCACATCGCAAGATACGTCTTCAGGAAAAAGACCTCTCTTTCACTTTATAATAACCAGTAATGTTAACTTTCTAGGTATTTAATTTAATTTTGATTGCAAATGGGATTGTTTTCTTGATTATTTTCTCTTCAAGTTTTTTTCAGTAAAGGAATAAATATACAGAATTTTTATACTGAACAAGCAAGACAGGTAGCTGAGGACAAATAGGAGGTGTTAAGATAGAAACAGGAGAACAGCGAAAAAACTGAGGCTCAAGAGAAAAGCTTCAGCAAAATTTCATCCAACTGAAAGATAAGATGGAGAGAGAGGATATTCTGAGAGAGCAGGAAAGGGTACTAAGGCATACGCTGCAGGTAAGTCTGTATGGGGCCTGGGAAGTTACTGATAACAAATGTATAGTTCCACAAGGAGAAGCAAAAATATAATTTAAGTCTTGATACCAGAGGGGAAAGACATCTGATTTCTTGAAATGTCAAATCTGGATTATAAATAAGTCCTAAGTGCATAAGACACAACAGCAACTTCTGTAGCATTAGATGTTGGAGTGTGCCAATAACATGTCCCAGGGCTCAGGAAAGATGTTACTGATGTTAAAAAGGGTGTCATTGTGCCCAAAATGAATAGGACATCAGTCCTAGAATTTTTTTTTTAAAGATTTATTTATTTATTCATACAGAACTGGGTACAGGCCAGAGATGCGGAGGGTGAGAGGATTCACCAGGGACAGAGTGGGGAGCAGAACAGGCAGATCAACGAAGTACACTGCTGAGGGGAGCAGCAGGCGGGTCAAGAGAGGTCTGTTCCAACTGATGTTGCTGGCTTGTGCATATTATTCAAATATCCCCAAGGGAACCTATGCTGAGTACATTAATGACAAAGGCAATTTTGATCTCATATTGTTTCTACTACAAACCAAGCAAAACATGACTACCTTAGCACTGATTATGTATTTGTGAAATTGAAATGACTACAGCTGTCTTCCCTACCACCACATATAAATGATATGTGACGCCCAGCACAAAAACAGCTGTTTAAAACTATTCAACAGGGGCCCAAATCACCACTTCCTTACTATGTTAACAGCCCTCCAGGTTTCAGAAATAAAGGTGGCAGTGTTAGAAACTAGTGGAGAAGGGACTTGGGACAGAAAGCAGAGGCAGTCTCTCTAATGCCCTGGTCTGTCTAATGAACTGGAAGTTCCATTGCCCAAGCTCCTCCCCCAAGAAATTACACAGAAATGAATCAGCATCTTTGCCTGCAGCACAATCACATTTGAAAACAGTAAACAAGAGCCTTTGTTGGGGAACCTCTCAGTCCACCAGAATTCCTTTACCTATTCAAGTGATACCTGTTAATATATCACTACGTGTTTGGTGTGATCATCAATTTCTCATTGAACATCAGGCCACAGGATACCATAGTGAAATCTGCAGTTATAGAGGGTTTCAAGGGAATGGTCAGTTGCCTGATATTTCCCTAAACCAGTGTCGCTGCAATGAAAGTCCTGTGGCTGACCCAGTATTCAGAGCCTTAGAGAAGGTCTCTGAACCTGCACATCTGGATGTTCTGATAAAGGTATGAAGGGAAGAGATGGGTTCTACTTCCCCAACAAGTCTGCCCAACACCTCTAGTAGACATGTAAAGAAAAACCGGAAATATAAGATGCTCACATGAAAGAATCTTGCTTTAGAGAATGAAGGGACCCAGAATAAGGTGAAGGTTAATAAAAGCAGAGCAAGAGGAACCCATCACTTTAAAGTTAATCACAAATTGTCATCTATTGAAATTGCACATATGCCTCAAGAAAATGGTCTCACTATACCTGGAAATTAATCAATGAATTAAGGATCTATACAGGGACTTTGTAGGAAGATGACAGAAAGACAGTTTCACAACCATTGTCTCACATTGATACAGTATGAAATGGATGGCTTGGCCATTTCTACATTCCTTTCTCCCTTTCCCCTTATTTGCCTATAAGCTGTCTCAAGAGTGCTCCTCTCTCTGCTCTCTCTGGTTATTGTGTAATCCTCATAAAATTAATTTTTCTAAATGTAGCAAGGGTGTGGCAGTGTTTAATGGGGTGAGGCTGAGGAATAGGTGGAGGAATTCACCACAACAGAGTAGAGAACAGTAAAGATGGGTTTGCTGAAATACCAGGAAGGGATCAGGGGCAAGATGGTAGAGATACATCTTCATGGGAAGAAGGATGGGGTTCCTTTTTATAACCTACTTCCCTGGGCATTTCCTGACTGGGGGGTCTGTCTTTGGCAGTTCTTATCTGCTGGGCCTTCAGGCTTTCCCATAGGAGGTGTCCTGCCTGTTGGCCCTGTGTCTGCACTTCCAAATTCTCCACAGCTCCCTATTGGGCATGTGGACCCACAGCAAGGTTCCCATAGTGACTCCAGTTGTTTCTCTTTCTTATCTTTTTGTTTATCCCAGCATTGTTCAGCTGGGCAAGGTGCAAAGAATGAGTTTTAACTCTTAAAATGACACCTTGACATTGGGTTGTGTTGCAGGAATTTGTAGAACTGGAAAGAAAACTAAGTGATTTCTCTCTAAGGATAAAGGCAAATAGCCTACAGAAGCAGGAGGAATGACAGGACACTGTGAGGAGGTCTTCTTTGATCTCGCAATCTCAGATTGGATTCTGCCAACTATGTCTGTGGGCACAGAAAGTGCCCACAGGAATTGAAAAAAGAAAAAAATTTCAGGGCCTCCTTGGAGACACTGGAGTTAAGTCTCAGCACTATCAACCTATTTCCAGCCACGGTGATAGGAACTAAGTCTCCTGCCAGGGAGCAGATCCACATGGCTCAGTAGACCTCTCCTGTCTCTCCCACTGGTCCCCTCAGTAGTTTTTCAGAGGATGTACATGTTCTGCTCCACACTCTGTCTCTGGTGAACCTCTCAACCCTTGTACTTGTGGCCTATACCCCAGTTCTTGTATGCATAGATAAATAAAATGTAAATATTTAAAACAATTCTGAAGAACTGGAGGCCTAATTTTTTACATTAAAGACACATAAGGATGTAGAAAAAAAAACAGACAAGGAAAGTATGCCAGCAGAGTAAAAGAAAATAAGGAGTCTATAACAAAGAAACAATCAGAAGAACATCAAGGATTACACAAAACACTGTATATATATTACTAATGGAAAACAAATTCACAGTTGAAAGTGAAATTCTTTCTGCAAAATAGAATAAGCAAGTAAAGAAAAAAATGTTTTTAAAAGATTTATTTATTTACCCTTTTCAATTAAAACAAAAAGAATCAAATACCTGGGAGTCAACCTAACAAAGGAGGTAAAAGACTTCTACAAAGAAAATTACAAAACACTGTTAAAAGAAATACAAGAAGACACCATGAAATGGAAAGACATCCCCTGCTCATGGATCAGG